GGTAATTTTTTTTTTTTAGGCGGTAAAACCAGCCCATTGATTTTTTTTATATGATTTTTTTTTAGTTTTCCAATAATCAAATCTAAATTTGTTACCTTTGCTTGCTAGCTCCCCGGCAACGGCGCCAAAATTGCTTGACCGCTTTTTATGATCGGCTTGTTTTAACTCGCAAGTGCACGAGTGTGCGATGTAGCAATTAACTCGGTAAGATCGAGGTCATATCCACAGAGAGCTAGATCTGGAAATTAAGCTAAGTAACAAAAAAAAACTCAAGAGAAATTAAATTAACAATAACTTGGTTGAAAATAATTGATGGATTTGTTTTTAAAGATAAAAAAAAAATGTAAATAGATTTTAAATGACAAGAAAAGTAAGTCTTGGTCCAAATCAATTTTAATGGTGATGTATTGGTGATTTCTTCAACATATATAAGATAACTCAACCTAATATCAATGATGGTGATATTAGATCAGAAGATATTACAATGAAGATTAGAAAGATGAAGATTGATTATTGCTTAAGAATGAACAAGTACTTTCATATTAAGTAAGACATTGAATCAAGCAATCTCTATACCAAAACTAAAGTTTGTGCATAAAAATTCAAGATTATAACATTACCTAAATGATTTCTAAAATTTCTTTACAATAATAAATCATTCATGAAGAAAATAAGAAGATAAACATTAAGATTCATTCATATCCTAAAGAACTCACCTCAATCACCATTATCCTTGATTTGGATCCAAGAAAGAGTTTAGCCAACCATGATTATATATAAGAACACTTCAATAAACATGAAAGAACTTGAATCCAACTGAAAAAATAAGTTTTACAAACTAAAGAACCGAAATCTATAAAGAAGAACACAATACAATTTCAGAAAAAATTCGGACACAAATCTGACTCTAACTTTGGACAGCAATTCGACCCTCTTAGAAGCTTTTTTTGGAGAAGTCTATTAGAGACATATTTATAGGCAATTCTGTCACCTTTCCAGATCATTAAAGAACAGCTCATTTGGACACCTGAGTCAAAAGTTATGGGCAAAACACCGAAAGGTGTTCTGAAAAATCAAATCAAGACAGCTTTACAACTACTTTGGTGCACGTTTTTCTTCCTCATTTATGAGGTGTCTCCTTCTTCTTTTTGACCCAAAATAATGTTAAAATATCCCCTCCAGCTTTCCATCCATGTGCTTGCCTTCTTGGATCAATGGATTGCCCAAAATAAATCAATTGTTATTTGTTGTGTGGACATGTAAGATCATGGATTGTGTTTGGGTTGATTTGAAGGTTGATTTGGGGTTGATTTAGGGCTGATTTGGGGCTGATTTTTGGGCTGAATTTGAGCATCAAATAAGTATACAAATGTACTTATTATTTGGGCTAAGATTGACATTGAAACCTTGAGTGTTTAATGGTTGAAGTTTGCACACAACATAAGGCAAGTTTGGGCTTGAAATAAATCATATGATATTCTTTTCTAGAATTGGAATAGAATTGATTTTTGGGACAAATTTGGAGCACTTATTTGAACCAAGATTTGCTTTAATCTTCAACTAAATGTCTCTTCAATTCTTTGTTCTGAATTCCGACGTTGAATTTTCTGAATTAATTCATTTAAGCTCCAAAAACCTATCGAAACATTAAAACAAACTTCATTACTAAAAAACACATCAATTATTATAAAAACAATAAATACATATGTAAAACAAGAGACTTAATGACACTTTTGATGCACAATCAGCCGTGTCACACATCAATTCCATAATTTGTCTATCTTTAGGTGTTAACCTTTCATAAAAATATGAAACCAATCTTCATGTTTGAAAACCATAAGGAGAGCAAATATTATGCAAGTCTTGATACCTATCCCAACATTGATAAAATGTTTCTCCTAGCTTTTGAGTGAAAGTGATGATTTATTTTTTGAAAGATTTTGTTCTGTGAGGTGAAAAAAACTTCTTTAAAAATTATTGTTGCATTTCATTCTAAGTACACATGGATCCTGACTTAAGATTTTATAGCTATATTTTAACTTTATCTTTTGATAAAAAAGGAAACAGCTTTAATCTAATAGTGTTCATACTACAATTTAAGTCATTATAGGTGTTCCAGACCTCCTCAAATTCCCTTAAATACAAGAATGAATTTTCTAAATCTAAGTCATGAAAAAAGATAAAAGTTAAATAATGTCTAGCTTAAAAATAAAATGAGATACATGAAGGGAAAAACTATACATAAAGGTGTACTTGTTCTTGTGGGATTCATGTGGTCTCTAAGTGTTCTAACATGATTATTTTCATTGTTCTTATTATAAAGCGACTGATTATTTTTTTCAATCATATTTTCTAAAAATAATGAGGATACCCTACAAAGTTTACCACTTAGTGTATGTGACCAAACTCTTATGTACGTATAGGAAGAGAATATAAGGAAGAAAAGAAAAGGAAAAAAATAAAAAGAGACAAAACACAAAAAACAAAAGTTAGATAAAAATAAATATTATAATTTATACAAGAATTTACCTGCTTGGCAGCGGCACCAAAAACTTGACTTGACCAACAAATTGATGTCATCTTCCGAGTGTAGGAGTCTCGAAGTAATAAATAATCGTTGAACCACAGAAAGGTGAATTATATAAAATTATAATCAATAAATGAAAAGGAGTTAAAGAAAATTCTTGAGATTTGATATTAATGTAAGGATTAAACAAGGATAAAATAATTGTCAAGGTTAAAGGATTCACTAATGGTATTTCAAACAATTATAGTATAAACTCTTTTTATTCCTCAACTAGAAACCATATACAAAAGGAGATTCTAATCAAATTATAAATTAATATCATGATTATATTAGTTATCGTATTCAAAAATATGCTAATACTTGTAAATGTTGTCAAATATTCATGAAGCTAACTTATGTTAACAATATCAAGTTCCTTTCATAGTATAAGTGTCGATTATACCATAAAGTTGGGCTATGAAAGTGTTTATTAACCTCTCTGTGGTTCAATCCCGGTCTTACTAGGTTATTTATTACTTCGACACTCCTACACTTGGGAGAAGACATTAATCTTTTGGTTGTGTCATCGTACCAATTATTAATACCTTTCTTGTTATATGATTAATCTAGATTTGTATTGTACAACGTTTGGTACAACAAATACTTTGTATTTTCATAGCCTACTGTATGGTATAACCGACACTTGTACTATGAAAGGAACTTGATTTGTTGTTAACATAAGTTAACATCATGAATTCCTAACAATATTTAAAAGTATGATGTTACTAAAATAAGATAATTAATATGATCATGTTAAAAATTTATAATGAACTATTAAGGATAAATCATCCAATTGGAACCTCCTCTTTGTATAGTTTTTAGTTGATTAATAAAAAGAGTCCATACTATACTTATTTCTAATACTATTAATGGATTCTCTAACCTTGACAATTGCTTTTATCTTTGATTAATACTCATATCTCGAAAGTTCTCTTTAACTCATTTTTATTTGTTGTTTATAATTTTATATAGTTCACCTCCTTGTGGTTCGACCTCGATCTTGTCAAGTTATTTACTATGTCGACATTTCTGTATTTGGGATAAGATATCAATCTTTTGATTGTGTCACCTATTTAAAAAAAAACCATATTAGATGACGCTTATGTAAAACTCAAATTCCAACAACCTAAAAGGATTTTTATTTGACGAGAGAAGTTCTATTTATATATTTTTTTCCTTATCTTGTCGGGAAAAGCATAATAGGGTTGACATAGTGTTTCATTTTTCAATTTGATTGTTTTTTTACCAATTTTGAGGTTTTTATTTTTTATTTTTTATTTTTATTTTTATTTTTTTAAAATAGGTTGAAAAATAGATTTTTGGGTCCAACCAATACCCAACCTAATTTTCTAACAACCTATTCAATAGTTAAAATCTAGGCTTTCTTATAAAGTATTGTCTAATGTTTTGACTAACCATCAACTTTCTATCTTTTTTATCATTTTGCAAAGATTCTTTTTTTTTTTTCGAACCAAGATAAAAAAATAAAAATAAACTAAATGAAGTTTTGTACTTAAATGCAAATTGCAAAAATAAAAAAGATCAAAATTGGATATAGAGCAATTTTAAAGGGAAAAAAACATGAAAAACAGGGGGAAAACAATGATCAAATAAAACTCTTGTGTTTAAACATAATTTTAAATTAAGCCAGTGTATCCTTAAATAATTTCAAACAATAAAAATGTTTTTTTCCAACAAAATAAAGCATAAAAAAATGTTATGGACATGTTATCACCACCCTAATTATCTTATATTAAACCATTCAATTTAACTTATCAGGTTCAAATTCAAAACATTAAACTATTCGTGAAGATAAAATTAAAACAAGAAATTATATAATGAAAAGAGGAAATTAAAAAAAAAACCTAAACATTAAGTATTACATCAATATATATATATATATATATATATATATATATATATTGATATATTGAATATGCCAAGTCTTTTAATTTTTTCTTATTATTTTTTATGTTTATATTTTTTAATATGGATTTATAAAATAAGTAATGTTATTTATTTGGAGAATAATATTTTATTTTTGAGGATGGTAACCAAAAATATTTTATCATTATTTGGCAATTATTTCAGAATAAAAAAACAAAAATAGTTTAGATAGATAAGATAGTATAAAACAAAAGATGAAGATAAAATTATTAAAAATTTATTTAAAAATATAATTATATATTATTTAAAAATTTTAATTTATATTAAATTAATAATACTATAATTAATAATTTATAAAATCCATGATGTTGATTCAAGATTCAAAACTTGAACTGGTATAGATTTAAAAAAATAAAATAAAGAAAGAAAGAATCGAGTCGGTAAAGATAAAACCCGACCAAACACCCTATCAAAAAAACCAGCTGTCATCAAAATTATACAATTCTAATTAAAAAAGAATATATATTTTTTTCTGTCTCAGCCAGCTCCTCCTACGATCAAGCCACCAACGCCACCAGTCCAAGTTGCGATCCTACGGCCTCCTCCTATCTCCTTGGGGTTTATTTTTCCAGATAGAAAGAAACAAGAAGTGAAAATTAAAAATGGGTTCTGATTCAGCTTCAACATCAACAAAGCCACCACAAGAAGGAGACACATATGCTTCTCTTCTTTCTTTCGACACAGGCTCCCTCTCAAATCGACACCAAAGGAACACTGCCACCTGCGTCATTTTCACCTCTCTTATCATTGTCACTTGCATCGCTCTCTCTGCTGCTTCTGCCTTTGCCTTTCTCTTTTTTTCCTCTTCTGTTCCTCTTACGGATACCTCGTCCGCTTCTCTACAGACGACGTCTCGTTCTTTGACCAAGCTCAACCACCCTGTCGTTCTCTTGATTTCATCTGACGGGTTCAGGTTCGGTTACCAGTTCAAGACCCATACACCAAATATTCAACGTCTGATTGTTAACGGGACTGAAGCTGAAACTGGTTTGATTCCTGTTTTCCCTACTCTTACTTTCCCTAATCACTACTCTATTGTTACTGGCCTTTACCCTGCTTATCATGGTATTATTAACAATTATTTTGATGATCCAAAAACTGGAGAGGTTTTCACAATGGCAAGTCATGAGCCTAAGTGGTGGCTTGGTGAACCACTTTGGGAGACAGTGGCTAATCATGGTTTGAAGGCAGCCACTTATTTTTGGCCTGGTTCTGAGGTGCATAAAGGATCTTGGACTTGCCCTCCTGGTTTTTGTATGTTTTATAATGGTTCTGTTCCTTTTGATGAACGTGTAGATACTGTTTTGAGTTATTTTGATTTGCCAGCTAGTGAGATTCCTGAGTTTATGACCTTGTATTTTGAGGATCCTGATCATCAGGGCCATAATGTGGGACCTGATGGTCCGGAGATTACTGAGGCTGTTGCTAGGATTGATAGGATGATTGGCAAGCTGATTGATGGATTAGAGAAAAGAGGGGTTTTTGAGGATGTTACTATAATTATGGTTGGTGATCATGGAATGGTTGGTACATGTGATAAAAGGTTGATATTTTTGGATGATTTGGCGCCTTGGATCGATATCCCAGCTGACTGGGTTCGGTCCTATACTCCTTTGCTTGCAATTCGTCCACCTCCTGGTTTTGCACCGTCTGATGTTGTTGCAAAGATGAATGAAGGGTTGCAGTCGGGGAAGGTTGAAAATGGAAAGAATTTGAAGATGTATCTCAAGGAGAAGCTGCCTTCTAGGCTTCATTACTCAGCAAGTGCCAGGATTCCACCAATAATAGGGATGCTTGATGAGGGTTTTAAGGTGGAGCAGAAGAGAACTGAGAGGCAAGAGTGTGGAGGAGCACATGGTTATGACAATGCACTTTTCTCCATGAGGACAATTTTCATTGGCCATGGTCCTCAGTTTGCAAGGGGGCAAAAAGTGCCATCTTTTGAGAATGTCCAGATTTACAACTTGGTTACTTCGATTCTCAATATCCAGGGTGCTCCCAATAATGGGTCTGTGTCTTTTCCATCAACTGTTCTTTTGCCCAATCCTCACAAATTCTAAGGTCTTATCTCTGAGTGGGCTCAGCTATTCAAGGATCTAGTTGAGGTGGGCTGGGTGATTATATTGCTAGACCATATCTACTATTTCTTATGGAAGCATGGTTGTGAGTTATTGCATGATGTGGTGGCGGAGAAGGTAACTGTATTAGTTGTTGATGTTGTGATTGTTGTTCCATGTTTGGTTACACGATCACTTGGCCCCTACTTATCATTATTATGAGCTGCAAATTTAAGAGAGGATTCTAGATTAAATATTAATGAATCTGTATTTTTGTGGCGTAGCTGTCTGCCTTTCTTATTCTATGACTTGCCTATCTGATGCGCAATAGGGATCTAGTTTATGTTTTACCTCGAATGTTTTCTAATTGTGGCCACTGCCTTGACTGATTTAACTTTGACTGCTTGTCAACAGAAAGATGCTTTGTTTTTCGTGGAAACCCAAATCACAAGCTTAGCTGTTCTTTGCTTCCACAACTCCCATGCCATTTTTGTTACATGTGCTTGTTTTCATCTCAGAAGATCACATATTTAGGCTCCAGGTTTGAGAGCTTTTGAGTTCTTGGTAAAAATGCCTTTTGTAGGCATAATTAACTTCTAATATATGACATTAACAGATATTCAAAGAAGATGGTGAACTCTTATTCTTTTGGAACTTCTTAAAAATAGAATGGTAAAGTTGTTCAATTAGCTTCACTGAATAATTAGTTTATGAATCTAAAGTGTTGAATATGTTGGCAGATGTTGGTTGTGGTTATATATTATAAAAGCACAAGATGATTGCCTGGTTATTGATGCTCGTCCTACACCTTAAGCAACCAGTTTCTTTGACATTGGTAGAACATTGCTGCCTCAGAATCAGGATTGCATTGACCTTGTGACTATTACTTAGATGTTTGTATCATGACGAGCACGAGGTCTATGCTTTACTTTTTACACTCTAATTATAGCAAATGCTTCAACTGTTAAAGATGTATTTACCCAGGATCAGTAGTTCTTTGAGTTCTGTGTAATTTTGTGCTTATATCCATATCAGAAAAATGCATGTGCAAACTTGAGGTCTAGTTAAGATCTTGCACGCGCATGTTAAGTAAACATGCTTTAAGCAACCCATTTCTTTGTCATAGAACATTCCAGTCTCAAAGTCGGGACTGCTTTCTAATTGACCTTACCGAGTGTTCCAGCTATTAGAAGAGAGAGAGAGAGAGGGTGCAGATTCTTGTGAAGGTATTCTGTTGTTGTTGCTGTTGTAGCTGATCAGTTTTGGAAGCTTGTTATGATCCACAGTCAAGTTTGTTTTAGGACTAATTAAATGATGCATGTGAGGTGTTATTTCTGACCAATCAAATCTAACCTCAAAACTTTTTTTGGACATGAATTGTAGGCGATCAAAGATGAGATAAAAGTTTCAGAGAAAAGCGTTGATTATTGAAAAGTGATTCTTTGCTTTCATTAAAGAAAGGAGAGTCCCTAGTGTTTTGACATTATACATGAATTACATGCTGGAAAAGAGGGTTTTCATGCCTCCACTCCGCTGTGAGGTTATCTGTGGAGTGTAGGCATGAAACTACACTCCATTGTGAACAATATGCTATTGAAATCAGCTTGATGCATCTTGTGCTGTTGTTATCTGCAAGCTGAATTGCTCCTAGCTTTATGCATCAACATTACACAACAATTTCACGTTTAAAAATAGTCTCTCTTTTTTTCTTTCTTTCAAAATAGGTGCATCATGTCTTCGTTAATCCATCAACTCATTGTCTACACGGGAGGACCGTGACACTGGTCTAGCGGTGGAAGAGGCTTATCTCCTTCCACTGCACTTAGGTTCGAGCCTTGGCATGCACGCCTGTCATCCCCGCGGTGCCTTACATGCCTACTGGGTTTGCAGGATATTCAGTGGGCCGTGGGGATTAGTCGTGGTGTGCGCAAGCTGGTCCGGACACCCCATATAAATCAAAAAAGAAAAAAGAGTTCATGTGTATAATAGATGGAGTCACTGTACGATCTAAAACATAAAAGTAATGCAACCAGCAAGACTCTACAAAGGCCAGAAACGAGCAATAATATTATCGTGCTCATTACCTCACCAGCTTGATGCACAGGTGTGGATTGTGTTACAAATGTCATGCAAAGCGAACAAAGTGTATGTAATTTTTTTGTTTGCATTTTATGCCACGTGAGTTTCAATATGAACTAACCAAACCACCCTCGTGTACTGTAATGTAACCCTACAAAGAAGCATTTAAAGTGGAGAAAAAAATAATCAAAACTCTGATGCATAGGCATGATTTTAGAAAGTTTCAGAACTCGAAACACCAACTCAATAGGAGATGAATTCTGATTTTTTTCCCCATTTTTCATATAACTAAAGAAATTACAGACAATAACTACTCATCATAAAACAACTTGATTGTAATGCCCCATGATTTCTTAATGTTATATACTTCCTTGAGCTGGTGTGTTTTTTTATTTTTTATTTTTTTATAATGGTCTCAATCCGTTCAACATCCCGGTAGAATTTACAACCATTTCTACACATGGAGTTTCCCTGTGGGATTATTACCTCTTTTTAAGTGACAATGCAATTATTTACTAGGATAACTTACACCAATGTTAATCCATTTCATTTCAATTATATTTTATATTTACATGAGTACTTGAACATTTATATACTTGTACACCACGAAGGTATATTATACATAAGGTACACACAAATTTTGGCATTGGTAATCCATTATAATAGGGAATTGAGGTAGTATTATTTTTTCTTTTCTTGTACATTTACAATCATAATGAATTTTCCCTATCACCATTATTATTAGTATAGCGTTGCATTAATCCACCACCATTATTATTAGTATAGCGTTTCATTATTAATGTAGCTACAAATCATATATCACATTGATAATCTTACTTCTTTTTATTACATTACAAACATATTATTTAAAATAAGTTTTATATCACTTTACATGTACATTAATGAAAGTAATTTAATACACATTTTACATAATGTTAAAAATCTTTAGATATATAATACACCTCTCATTAGACAACTTCTATTTGTCTACAATCTACAATTTAGCTGTCCAAGTAGGCTTTCAATACTTCACTCTACCCAACAAGACATTGAACAAGATCTAGCTTTTCCTGAATTGCAAGTGAAGTGATTATCTATAATATTTCTTTACTATATTATCATTGATTGTCCTAAAACATCACTATATTATACTACTTTTGGCTATCCCAAATCAGCCTTATATTATACTATTGTTTTTGGCTATCCCAAATTAATCTTACATTTGATCCTTTTTCCCTTACAAATTAACCTTTATGTATTAATATCACCTTCATCACCATGAATATCATCCTTTTTTTTTTCACAATTTGGATTTGTTTGGTCATCTATCTTTTCAATTATTCTTATCAAGTGATATAATTTTCATTTCCACCCTTCATAAGGATTAAACATTGATCAAATTCAATGTCATTAATCCAATGACCATCACCATGAATGTAATTATAAATTCTTTATTTCATATCAACACTTTGATTTAACCCAAAAACGTTTTCAAAAATAATTCATTAAGATGATCATACAAAAATTATTTGTTATGTATAAGGCAATTAATCAAATCACATATTCCAATCATTAATGCTACTAATATCACTAGCTTCACTCTTGGAAGCTAGTTAAATCATATATTCCGGTAATCAATACAACTGATGTCACTAGCTCCACTCCAAGTAGCTAGTCAAATTATACGTTCCAAAATATATATTTTTTATTTGCCAATACACATTAATTACATATACATTTAAGAATTATTATTTTTTTAATCAAGAATCAACACCTTTTCATAATGCACAATCTCATTTCATGATAGAAACCATCACATTTAACCTCAAATATATCATCATCAGCTCGACAGTTAGTTACACTGATGCTATTAGCCTTATTCAAGACAACTAGTCAATTACATTCTTATTGGTTACTCACAATCATACATTTATATGCAAACACATTTAAAGAATTTTACAGCTAACAAAATTTCTACAAATAGAGATGGGTTCAAGGCATTTACCTGGTACCTAAGATCATGATGTAATTTCTAGCGATTAACTAGATCCCACGGTCTTTTTTGTATTAGCAGGAATACAACATCATACTCAATTTAATCATTATTGGAACTTCATTCTAATTTTCTTATGCATGTACATTTTCTATAACCGTATTCATGAAAACATTGTTTAGTACAACACACATAACACCACATAACCCCTTTAACTTAATCATTATAATAATTAAATTCATAAAATTTAATTACTCTTTTATTTACTTTAGGCTCTTATATTAAGAAGAACATACATTTTCCTCTAAGATTTCATATATCAAATCTCATACTCAATTTTTAAAACATATTATATTACAAAATCAAACATAAATACCATAATAATTTTAAGACATAACTAAATCTTTTTTTAATTCTATATTGGCCGAAACAATCGCTCTAAAGAACATAATTTTTTTCTTTCCTTTTTCATGTAACTAACTTCACTCCCATTTATTAACTTTATAATATAGCATGTTTAAATCTAAGTTTCATGGAAATTTAAACTAACCATTCCAAACTCATTTTCTTGGTCTTGGTCATACCTCCTGCAAAATAAAGGTATAGATTTTCTTTAGTTTTTTAATGCAATTTAACACTTATCCATTCATCTCACACTTCAATTAACACAATTGAACACCATTTTCAAGTCAATTAAATTGACAATTCAAACCCTTTTTCTTTTCATGTTTGAAAAACTCATATGATAATTGTGTAAGTAATAAACTAATATAATTAACTTATCTTTATAGGAAATTGTATTCTTTGATTATAGCTACACATCATTTTAATCAAGGTTAATAAACAAACAATTGTTTAGTATAACATGAACATATAGGATGAATTTGTGCATGTTTTTCTTTGAATTCATGTTTCTCTACTTATAATATAAATTTAAACTATTATCCAATTAGTCAATATTAAAATAAAAATATTGTTCAAATAATGCAAAGAATAAATTAAAGTTGTTTTAGTATATAATTATTATTTAGTTGGAAATAAGCTATTCATCCTAGCAAAACATTCTTAAGACGAGCGAACACCATTATGGTCATTTATAGCTTCTTCTTTTTTTTTTACTCAATAGTTTCTACCATTTGAGAATAGATGAGGTGATATTTCCTAATTTCTATAAAGATATTTCTTTTTGTATATGGTTCCTCTGATTTTTTTTAGGGTTATATCAACTTTA